CTATATTTGGTACAAGAAAATCATCTTTTACATTCCTGTCATTCATGACCACCATGAAGTTCCATCCGTTATCTGCACCGTAACTGGAGTAGGTTAATATGGCTGCTGCTGCAAACATCTAGATATCCCTTTTCCTGGTCGTGGAACTGATGTGAACATTTCTGATATCTATTTTTAGATCATCTGACCCGAACCATCCTGTCCTCTTTTTTTGTGTTCTGCTCTGTCCATCTTGAACAAATGTCATTACTCTGGCTTCTTCATTTCTGATTCAGAACAAACTTCATACAAAGGTTACCAGGGACAATGATTTGATGATTTCTTGATTCTGGGTTCCATTGCAAAGTCAGTGGATTCAAATGACATGTAGGATGAATTCCAAGGTCAAGGTCACTGTTGGTAATGTATAGAAAGACCATTAACATATTCGGTGCTAACAGTCTATGTGACTGAATTCTTAGAGGATTTTTACCAAATTTACAGAAAAGTGAAACAGTGATAAATACAAATACGTTAAAAATTTCAAATAATTTGCATACACTGTCTCATACCTGGCAAGTATTATACTGCTATTATATGTTATCAAGTTTGTTTAAATGAATAACCTTGACCCACTTTCAGTGTCTCAGCAGGCAAATATACCTAGAAGTAAATTTTTTGTACCTATTGTGTTTTTTTATTTCATAGATTTATAGATTTTTTATGTAATATCCGTGTTGGATGTCGTTGCAAAAATTGTCAAATTAAGTTATCTTGGATTTAAAAACAAAAATTTGACATGACAAAATTTATGTTGTGTTTATAAATTAAAGTTATCACAAATTCAAACATATTTGCCCTATCATGTCAAGTTTTTGGTGGATTTTTTCCTCAGAAAAGATGATTTTGATGTGTTTGTTATATTTAAAGAGCTTGTTTTGCTTGCACAAAGCATGGACTGGCTCCACTGCCCAGACTGTAACGTTATCTCTGGAGCTAATTTTGTGGAAAATTGGTGAGGCATCTGATACGCATGACAGCACAGGATTACATTATCACTGCAGGACAAACACGGCTGTATTGATTTTGTACAGCATATATTTAATGAAACTCGCCAAGGTAAAAAACGAAGAAAAAATGGCAAAGGAAAGAGTTTTTAATACAGTTATGAAAAGTTGGGTCATAAATAATGTATTGTCAGTCCTAGACGGTCTGATAACATGATTGTTACATTGCAGGTTCGCAGATAATGTTCAGGTCCCCATGGGGACAATCCCCATTGCCAGGACAGTCAAGTGCGTGTGAAGATATACTGCAAGCATAGATGTCTTTACATGGTTAGGTTGCACATATTGGTTAATTTGTTCATCAGTTGTTTTAAAGAGAAGGACAGTTTAAAAATATATCTTTGATTGAGACTTTACTCTGATAATCTTCTGACTAAAGTTGCACAGTTGTAAACAGGAATTTGATTTTGGTTTATGTTTTATGAGCCTGAATGCTATAGTCATGTTGGTTGCAGACAAGTGAGTGCATTTTACACTCAACTTTATTAACTTTTTGGAGAAGCATTTCAAAATTTTCTACGAGATTTGAGAATATTACTCCTTTAATTGAGACTGAAATAGCATCAATTAGCTAGGAAGTTTGTGTCCACGCAGACATTTATTTCTATCTGTGTATTAAACCAGCTGCCTTTGTATTTTTTTCGCAAATTAATGAAAGAAAGCATTGTATATTTTATCCAACAGTTACAGAATAAAGATATGTGGAATTGTTTAGAGAGTGCTGCTGTGTTTAAAACTTGAGAGTTCTGCATGACTATATTGAATCAGACTTGTTTATATATTATACACTATAGAAAATTATTGAAAACCTTGGGAATAATTAAATTTCCTTTAATATCACTGGAGATACCAGGCATAGCTGCAGGATCAATATCCCTGTGAAATATGTTATCAATGTGAAATAATGCAGGCGAGAGATGTAAGAGTATGGATCATATCTGTATGACCTTTTAAACTAAAGCTACCTCTTCAGATAGTCAAAGAATTCCTAAACCCAGAAATCACTGGTTACTGCTTTATCTTTGGATGATATGTCAAAAATTTATGGCACCATTTCGACAAATGTCCTTCAACTCTCCATTTATTCTGTTAACTGACAAATGTTCCTTTACTCTCCCTTTAAACTGTTACCTGACAAATGACCCTTTACTCTCCCTTTATACTGTTACCTGACAAATGACTCTGTACTCTCCCTTTATTCTGTTACCTGACAAATGTCTCTCAGCTCTCCCTTTATTCTGTTTCCTGACAAATGACCCTTGACTCTCCCTTTATACTGTTACCTGACAAATGTCCCTTTACTTTCCCTTTATTCTGTTACCTGACAAATATCCCTCAACTCTCCATTTATTCTGTTACCTGACAAATGTCCCTTTACTCTCCCTTTATACTGTTACCTGACAAATGTCCCTTTACTCTCCCTTTATTCTGTTACCTGACAAATGTCTCTCAACTCTCCCTTTATTCTGTTACCTGACAAATGTCCCTTGACTCTCCCTTTATACTGTTACCTGGCAAATGTCCCTTTACTCTCCCTTTATACTGCTACCTGACAAATGTCTCTCAACTCTCCCTTTATTCTGTTACCTGACAAATGTCCCTTGACTCTCCCTTTATACTGTTACCTGACAAATGACCCTTGACTCTCCCTTTATTCTGTTACCTGACAAATGTCTCTCAGCTCTCCCTTTATTCTGTTTCCTGACAAATGTCTCTCGACTCTCCCTTTATTCTGTTAACTGACAAATGTCCCTTTACTCTCCCTTTAAACTGTTACCTGACAAATGACCCTTTACTCTCCCTTTATACTGTTACCTGACAAATGACTCTGTACTCTCCCTTTATTCTGTTACCTGACAAATGTCTCTCAGCTCTCCCTTTATTCTGTTTCCTGACAAATGACCCTTGACTCTCCCTTTATACTGTTACTCTCCCTTTACTTTCCCTTTACTGTTACCTGACAAATATCCCTTTCCCTTTACTGTTCCCTTCCCTTTATTCTCCCTTTATACTGTTACCTGACAAATGTCCCTTTACAAATATCCCTCAACTCTCCCTTTATTCTGTTACCTGACAAATGTCCCTTGACTCTCCCTTTATACTGTTACCTAACAAATGTCCCTTTACTCTCCCTTTATACTGCTACCTGACAAATGTCTCTCAACTCTCCCTTTATTCTGTTTCCTGACAAATGTCCCTTGACTCTCCCTTTATACTGTTACCTGACAAATGACCCTTGACTCTCCCTTTATTCTGTTACCTGACCAATGTCTCTCAGCTCTCCCTTTATTCTGTTTCCTGACAAATGTCTCCCGACTCTCCCTTTATTCTGTTAACTGACAAATGTCCCTTTACTCTCCCTTTATACTGGTACCTGACTTTGACAAATGTCCCTTTACTCTCCCTTTATGAAATGAAAATGAAAAATCTGGAAAATATTTGACTTGTAATAAAACCCCCTGCAAGGAAGTTGATGGGGGAGGGGTTGTTGTATACTGGAATCACCTCTCCTGTCTGTAGACAAACTTTGTCTGGCTATGCTATTGCTCTTTGCTCCGTTTACAACAGACCTTCATAAAATTTTTGAGGGAATGGCTAGTACAATATGGTTATGTGCCCCTTGAAGTGACTTAGCATTTTTCATCCTTTTTCAGAGAATTATCCCGATCTTTAATAAAAATGATAAACACAATTTTGTCCAGCTATGCATCAGTCGGTTAACAACACATCTTCTTCAAATTTTGTGAGAATGGCTAGTACAATATGAAGTTGTGTCCCCTTAATTTAATTTGCATTTTCTCCCTTTTCAAAGAGTTATCCACCTATGTATAAAATAAATTAACATAGTTTTGTCTGGCTATTCGTTTTGAGAAATAACCATTTTCTGTGCATCTAGTTGACTTGAAATTTGGCTCATACCTTCATTGAACAGTACCGTTTAATATATAATACATTTTTTTTGTCTTTTTTGCTGAAATTTTGATTGTCATGGTAACTGGTAACTGTAAACATGTCTTGTTATAAATGACCATTACCCCATGTTCATTTGATAGACTTTTTATTTGACTATATATGGTCAAATGGTCTAATTAAAACCTAAAGTAGGATACATCAGGTGTTTCAGGAACAGTTGCTATGGCAACACAATCCCAGTCTCTGATAGATATAAGGGGATGACAAATACCAGTGTATGTGTTCGATTGTCATACAACCATGTTAAGGTAAATGGTAGCCTGTGATTTGTTAAAATTTAGATATTACCTGATTTTTATCAAATTTGGTTTATAAGGGCATTTGGGGATGCAAAACATCACTGTTTAAGTTTGATTATCATTTGCTGAGGCTGGTTGTGGCCAATAATTGGTTGAAATTTAGATATTGTCTGATTTTTGTTATCTAATTATACTAGATATTAGTTAATGCCAAAACTTATTTTCAACTGTTTTTGACTTTTTTAATAGAGATTTTACCAAATTTGATGTTTGTATCTGTAGAGGTATTAGTTATCCTCAGGATGACAGTTCTAGTTGAAATGTATTACTTCATGATAATTGATTTGATGTTTCTCACAATATGCTAAGGAATTATATCATAATGCCTTTCATTTGAACATCAGATTGACAGATTAACAGTTTAAGAGTTAAAATTGGTAATGAATATAATGTAGCCTGTTTCACACATTTATTGAGATAACAAAGATTTGTATAATGTCATTTCTATTGTCAATGTCAATGACAGAGAAGGGCAATACCTTTTTCTCAAGAGGACCAGAGAAAATCACCAGTTGAAATACTTGCTAATATGTGTACCTTCACTATGATAACACGTAAGGTTGGTCTTGACAGTGCCGGTTTTTAACAGGAGGATTAGAAAAAGCTTGCCATTAAAAGGTGCTGCTATTTGTACTCTCCCTATAATCGCTAGGATTGATCTTGATGATGTCTGTTTTGACAGGAGGACCAGAGAACTGGGCGACAGTGTTCGGGATTCTTTACTGCTGCATACAGGTTGGGATGGAGGTCAAGAGACAGGAACAAAGATGTCAACATACCAAGCAGGACTGAAGATGATATAATACACTTCACACTGTCACATCCTCATGCTACATCTGCATTGAGAGAAACTTTTCATTTTCTGTTCTGATGTATACTGCAAAAGCAGTGTCATAAGTCTTCAAAGATATTGGTCATGTTACCCTGAATTTCTAATATATTTTCTGTTACTATAGCATGTTTGTATCATGTGATTACATTTAATAGTACATTTCTGTATCATATGATCACAGATAATGTCACATGCAAGTACCTAGTAACATATGATTATAGTTACTGTGGCATATCAGTATTGTGTGTTAATACTTAATGTTACATGTTTGTACGGTGTGATCACACTTAATGTTACATGTTTGTATGGTGTGATCACACTTAATGTTACATGTTTGTACGATGTGATCACACTTAATGTTACATGTCTGTACGGTGTGATCACACTTAATGTTACATGTCTGTACGGTGTGATCACACTTAATGTTACATGTCTGTACGGTGTAATCACACTTCTTGTTACATGTCTGTACGGTGTGATCACACTTAATGTTACATGTTTGTACTGTATGATAACACTTATTGTTACATGTCTGTACTGTGTGATCACACTTAATGTTACATGTCTGTACGGTGTGATCACCCTTAATGTTACATGTCTGTACTGTGTGATCACACTTAATGTTACATGTCTGTACGGTGTGATCACACTTCGTGTTACATGTCTGTACTGTGTGATCACACTTAATGTTACATGTCTGTACGGTGTGATCACACTTCGTGTTACATGTCTGTACTGTGTGATCACACTTAATGTTACATGTTTGTACTGTATGATAACACTTATTGTTACATGTCTGTACGGTGTGATCACACTTAATGTTACATGTTTGTACGATGTTACATGTTTGTATGGTGTGATCACACTTAATGTTACATGTTTGTATGGTGTGATCACACTTAATGTTACATGTTTGTACTGTATGATAACACTTATTGTTACATGTCTGTACAGTGTGATCACACTTAATGTTACATGTTTGTACGATGTGATCACACTTAATGTTACATGTCTGTACAGTGTGATCACACTTAATGTTACATGTTTGTATGGTGTGATCACACTTAATGTTACATGTCTGTATGGTGTGATCACACTTAATGTTACACACTGTGGTCATAGTAATTGTTACATGTACACAAGTCATGGATATTTTTGAATATCTTTATTTTTCTTCAGGAATTCATTTTCATGCACATAATGGTGATAATTGAAGATAAGATTATGTGGTGCTTGTTAATCTGCATTCAAAGTTAACCTTTAAATAATGGTTTTGTGGAGGTTTTAGTGAATCTCACATGGCTTATAAACTCAATACACATTTTGTCTTGTGTAAAGCATGTTAATGTTTAAAAAGTAGTGCTAATCATTATACAGTATAACTGTGTGGACATCAAAGTATTTCTATCAATGTATTTTGAGAAGTCACTGTTATAAATCAATTTGACAATTTCTGTTTCAACTACTTTAGATTTATATGGAAAAAATACAAAATAAAATCTGAAAAAGAAACAGAGTTGTTATTTCCATGTGATGAGAATGATCAATAGTATCAGATATAGCTGTCAAGTTCATTATACAAATGTTTCAGAATACTTAGGAAGGTTTTTAAACATTGTGTTCTAGTTAAACACTTGGTTTATTCTTCATATAGATTATGCCTATCAAAGCTGTAGTCTGGTTTTACCTTCCTACATTGTAGTTCTATCTATAAACACTTCAGTCTGGTTTTACCTTCCTACAGTGTAGGCCTATCTATAAACACTTCAGTCTGGTTTTACCTTCCTACAGTGTAGGCCTATCTATAAACACTTCAGTCTGGTTTTACCTTCCTACAGTGTAGGCCTATCTATAAACACTTCAGTCTGGTTTTACCTTCCTACAGTGTAGGCCTATCTATAAACACTTCAGTCTGGTTTTACCTTCCTACAGTGTAGGCCTATCTATAAACACTTCAGTCTGGTTTTACCTTCCTACAGTTTCCGCCTACTCGACTGTCAACCAGACATTGTATTTGATTTTCAAATGAATCCAACAGTAAGGTGTGGTCAGTATTGATACAAACCTGGCTCCATCTTCATACACAAATTAAATACTGACATGAGAGAGAACAGCAAAATGTAAATGAACTCTGATCTCAATGTTGATCGAAACACAAAAAACAAAAACAAAACACAAATTAAATAAACAAAATATCAACATGTAAACATATTCATTCAAACACGAAATAGATCATTCTTAAGGAAAAAATATGAACGAAAGAAATATTGATATCGAAACCCTTGCAAATCTTAATGGACAACAAGGCAAGGTGTTCAGGAAGGGTAAGGTCTTCTGATTTGTCCACGACACCCGCCGTGCATGTTAGTGATGTTATGTTCTCAAATGATCAGACATAATGGACATGGATTACATTTTCTCACATGGTAAAAGAATAATCGTTTATTACGGTAATTATGAAACCTCCAATTTGTCGTTCTCAACCTATCCCTTTCGAAAACATGTTTTAATTTCTTTTTCTGTTACCCGTCGATATCTTCCACAGAAGTCATGAAATTGGAACAAGTCCTTGAATATTGAATAAACTATATAAACACCGTATATTGTGGATACAGAGAGGCTACAATCTAGAAAGGGAAAATTCACATTAGAATAATTGAAATCGTCACGCTCAGAATATAACTGTCTTTGTTGGATTCACTTTGGGAAGTAAAATTAATACTGATAGGCAGTTATTCTGTAAAATGACAAGAAGAGTAAAAGTAAACATTCCTGAAGAGTAAGGTTCCATAGTGATATCGACATCACCAGGCATGTTATTATACAAAAAATGCGACCTTCTTACTGCACATGGAAATAAAGCATTTGGTAATTAAAACGTAATTGAAAACATTTCAAGTTTTGTAATATTGATTTTTGTACAAACGTCAGAATCTTTTAGGGTGTCTCGAGGTAAATTTTAGTGTGGAGATGTTCGGGACTTTGCCTTCCTTGAGAATAAGATTTGTTGACTACAACTTGCGGGTTCAGTTAGCTAAATTACTCGCTGATAATCACTATCTGAAATGCTTTTTACATAGGAGAAAATAGTCCAAGGACGATTCCGTCCTGAATCACCAGTTTATTCCAGGGAAGTTTCCTTCCTGAAGCACCAGTTCGGATTTCAAACTTTCGGTTGTTTACCAAAAAAAATCCCTATATAAACTGTGGAAGATGTACCTGTTATTTTTTATGTGTGTTATATGAATATACTACTTCCTCTAAGGAAAACATGCTAGATAAACAAACAATACCAAGTGTTGTAACATTATCTTCACGGTAGTTCCACGTGTTCTATTGGCCACAAACGGCACATGTAACAAAATACAGGAAGACTTTTAGCTTCCATAACATTGGTGTATTCATAAACAAATAAGTTTGGAACAATTTACTTAAAAAAATACAAGTCATCACATCTTATGTTGCCCGCGGTTCTACAATTATTCGTGGGCAAAATTTTATTGTTCCTGAAAGAGGTCCTTTAGAATTTGATACAACAGATCCAAATTTAATAAATTCAGTATCATATAGGATTGGAATCTAAATGGGAAGGATTGTTCTCAAAGATCCACTGAAAACGTAAAAGTGACTCTAGAATAACCGCTATTGTAATATCCGGAATTGGTTGTCATGTTGGATCATTGGGAAGTTCTACTTTTTACTCTATTAGTCTTACAACTACAGGTTGCACATGTTGCGGATAGACTGGGTCACGTGACCTGTGGTTAAGGGTGATCTTGCTGTAAATAGAAAAGGTACATGGATGTAGTATTTCCGAACAATGTACGTAGACCGAAAGTACAGTTAAGATTGTCAATGTGTACATTTCTGACAGCTTTAAAGTACAGGACAGATTGGGTTCTATAAGGAAGATCCCCATATTAAATTATTTTATTAAAAGCATCAAATCCAGTTGCTATTTATACCATCGTAGAAATCGAACTTTGTATAAAATCATGTAATATTCAGGCGGTCGACAATGTCGAGTTATAATCCATCATTAACATCCTTGTTCTATTTCTGGTGTTTTGAGAGAGGAATCGTGTTCCGTTTTAACACTACCTGAACATTGACATACAATATATCTAGTTTTATCGGAACCTGTACACGGTTACAATGGAGTAAAATATGAATTATTGAATGACTGATTTTCCCGATGTTAATCTGCCAACTTATGCGCCAAGTGCATGCATGATTGATGTTGACAAGTCAGCCAACATCCTCTCTGTATCAGTTCGCGGAGGGGCGGCCCTTACACTGTTTATCACAAACTGCATTCCCATACATAGGCTTATTACATCCATACATCACCTGGAAAACCTATTAGGTGTGCCATAGTGCCTAGTCGGAGCTGATGTCACGCTTTTGTGTTGCCAACCTTCCGTTTCCATAGCAACTAATAACATCAATGGAAAGGTACTACCCAGAGTTATACAATTCAACATTTGTAATATAGCTGCTCCTTATCAATTTCCATGAATAAAAGATCATACCATTCAAACCGATATTGGGTCTAAGCGGCATTAAAACTAGTCAATTTAGTAAAACGCCATGTGTTAATGGGTGTAATGATGTAATCACGCAATAAATACAGCATGAATATGCATCTATCAACAACTGCTCCTACTCAAGGCTAAGACGTATCTGCGCTCCTACTATAATCTTAGATGTATCCGTACTCCTACCGTAATCTTAGATGTATCCGTACTCCTACTCTAATCTTAGATGTATCCGTACTCCTACTCTAATCTTAGATGTATCCGTACTCCTACTCCAATCTTAGATGAATCCGTACTCCTTCTCTTATCTTAGATGTATCCGTACTCCTACTCTAATCTTAGATGTATCCGTACTCCTACTCTAATCTTAGATGTATCCGTACTCCTACTCTAATCTTAGATGTATCCGTACTCCTAATCCGATCTTAAACCGGTTTTAGTTTTTACATCTAAAAATAGTGGTATTTATGACACCTTTAACCACTGATATTTATAATATCGTATATCGGTTATGTTAGTAACATGTTAGACCTTTTATATTTATTACAGACTAACCCAATTGGATTAAATTTTAAACAGTATTAGGAACCTTTGTGCCAGATGACACGATATGTATGGTAACAATTAGTTTGTACAAACAGATGTGTAAAACTCACTTGTGAAACACATGTTTAAAAAAAAACAAACTCATTCCTGTCGAACAGTATATAGCTGCTATTCGTCAAAAAAAATCCAGAAATACTTTCTACATATTGCCGTTCAAATTTTGTCTCCGAGGACCTTTCCGCATTTGTTTGGCATTTTGCTTATCGTGTATTGAGCCTAAATGAATGACACTGTAATGGTACGATGCTGTGTGAATACTTCAATAATTGAACTCTGTACTTAGTCAAAAGTGTATCAGAGAGTCCATGTATAAAGTTATATATCACTTTTGTGTAGAACGAGTTTCAATGGTGATTATAGTAAAATAAAACAAATAGATACGAAACACTACGAGATAACGATATGATATTGATAACAGTGTAATATACAACCTGTCTGCATGAGGTATGACTTATAATGTCCGTATTTCATGAACAATTGTGTCAGGAAAAGAGATAAATAATTCAATAATGTCCCTGGTAGTAATTCTGGAAACAATGAAAATTATATCGCCTGGACATGACGTTGCGTTTCCACAACTATAGTTATTAGAGTTTTAAAAATGAGTAACTTGAAAGGTTATGTTGACTAAAAATGTTAATTTTTAAGGAAGGGGGAGGCTAATTGCTGTGTGACCATGTTCATTTAGAG